AGATAGATAGATAGATAGATAGATAGATAGATAGATAGATAGATAGATAGATAAAATGTTTTCAGCTGAAATCAGACAGGTAGTTTAGCACTGTTGCAAAACCTGAAGCACTTATTCAAATAGCAGCAAACACAGATTAAAGAAATCCACATATACACATATTTCTTTAAACACATAAAGAAGTATGAGGCTTTTTACAAACGTCATAGTTCTTGATGAACATATGTTGTCCTTCCACCTTTGGGGGTTGGGGGGTGAAGCATCTTTCCACACTGAATTGCAAATGGCAAGTTCCAAATTGGGATAAAAATATATTTCTGGTCATTAGGAGGGGAAAGGGGACAATTTTGAAAACAATCAGTCCTTCCAGGAGCTTAAAGGATGAGATAAGTTGGAATATGTATCCTCCAAGCCTTATGGGAAGAATCCATCACAAAAAAACCTCTCAATCTATATATATTATCACATACTATATATATTAAAAATGTTTTCTGATACTTGTCAGAGAAGGAAGAGAAAATCAGTTGGATGGTTGATAGGTGGCAACCTCAGCAGAATCTTCCTGAACAGCTCATTCAAATTAATTTTAAATGTTAAGGGCTTCACAGAGAGCTCCTTTTTCACGGGTGTCCATGAAGCCATTAATTTTTTTACATTATTTACTAATTTGAATGTAGAGAAGTTGATTTCTCTGTATCATGAGTCTTTTGGTCTAGGAGCAATGTTTTTCAAATTGCAGGCTGGGGAATTCTGGGAGTTGAAGTCTATACATCTTAAAGTTGCCAAGGCTGAGAAATGCTGTTCGAGAGGTTCCTTATTTCATACTGTGATTTTACAGTACTTTGTATTATTTTTTAATATTAATTGCCTTTTTATCCTATGTCTATCCCATGCTTAGCTACAGGTGCATGGTAAATAAATTTGCTACTACAACAGCTCCCTTAAAATCTCCCACATGGGTCCCCAAAAATAAAATAAGCATTTTAAAACAATAATGTAAACGATTCGGGTATAGATTGAAACTGGTGGGAAGATTGAAGTGATTCCATAGAGCAGGGTTCTCAACCTTGGCAACTTTCAGATGGGTGGACTTCAACTCCCAGAATTCCACCCATCTGAAACCTGCCAAGGTTGAAAAACATTGCCATAGGCGACATGATAATGATCTCTTGTGTTTGGGGGATTTTTCGTCCTCAGGTCTCCATCGAAAGGTGAGAATATACATGCTTCTGAAGGTCATCAGCCAATCTATGCCAATGCTCAGGAAGTATATTACAACTATAGCGGGAAACCTATGCCGGAACCAGCAGACGATATCTACATTATTCCAGACCAGTGACATCTTGGCTCCATCAACACTGCTATGACCAAAGATGTCCCAGAACATCTCCTGGGCCTCCTCTATTGCAGTGGCCGCTCTTTGGAACACCATACCCCCAATTCATTTGGCCCCAGGTCTGCTGGCAGTTCATAAATCATTGAAGACCTGGATGGGACCTATAGGTTGGGTGAGCCCAGCTTCCTCTGGCATGACTATGGTAATGTGGTTGAGTGGATTGTCCTCGGGCTCCATTATGTTATGATCCAGGCACTGTTGTTTATGTTGTTATTCATGAGTTTTGTTTTGTTGGTTTGAATTACCTATGTCTGCCACCCAGAGTCATGATTGTGAGGCGGGTGACTATATAAACTGATACAATAAATGAATAAATGGTCATTTTGTGGTGATATTTCACTTTCACAAGGAGCAGTAGAATAAGGGGAGGGGGAAACACTCGGGAAAACTGCTGACCGACTTTCTCCTCTCATGTTATCAGAATGGAGGACTTACAGTGCCTGCTAATCTACTGCCACCCCTTTCCTAGAATTAATTTTATCCTAACGAATGCATTAAATGTATTTGGTGATACAGTACATATTTTTTCCAACTCCAACATGTGCCAAGGAGGGGTAATTTCTTTCTTCATCTGCAGTGACATCTTGGCTCCCCCTCCACTGCAGGGGGCAGTGTTGCTCTCCTTTTAGGGCAGAGTCAGAATAAAAGATAATGGCTGCATTATAGACTTGACTGTCTATTCTTATCTGTACATGTATTGCTTATGCGAAGATAAATCCCTCTGTGGTTAATTGGGCTTCCTGTCAGGTAAGTGTATATTATTAAAACTTACCTGCTGCTGCAAGGTCCAACGTTTCTCAGTCCAGAAAGAACTGACTTAACTTCTCCAACCCTAATGCTGCAGAATACTCAATTGTAAAAGCAGAGGGAGCAAGAATTTATTTTTGGGAATGGGCTAGATCTTCACTGAAAGAAAGAGCTGGCCTACAGATTTCAGTGGTATGAGTACCGCATGGCAAATTTTTCCACTTGCTTTACCTTACACTGATCCCACGTCAACAGGAAAGGCTAGGCGTGGGTTATCTCACTTGACCGCAACAGTTGAAGCTCACAGTTGGTCAAGGTTGGCTAAGGATGTTGTGGGCAGCACAAATATCTTCAGAATTAAAAGAGCCCCAAAGAATCAGCTTGCCAACAAGTAAAGAAAAGGCAGAGCTATTCAAGTCCTATTTTGGATTAGTCTTCTCCAACAAGAGCATACTGTATGTGGTCCACTTGGCCATTGCGAGGAGCAGGAGTGAAGCTTGTGATTGATAAAAGGGGTTACAGTACATTTAAACTTTGAATGAGTTTAATCTCCAAGCCAGATAAATTGTATCAGAGAATACTTAAAGGGTTTTCTTTGAGAAATCCTGGAATTGCCAGGCAACTGGAAAACAGAAAATGTCTTCAAAAAGGGAAGAAAAAAGCAGAGAAACACAAACCGTCAGTTTGACATCAGTACCTGGAAAGATTCTACAGCAGATCATAAAATGAAGCATTTAATCTTGAGAATAGAAGACTGAAGAAGACATAGCATTAGTTGAGTTTGTGAAGAAGAATACCAAATCCTGTTTGCTATTGTTTCAATGTGCAAAACACAGAATAAGGGTTTTAAATTACAAGAGGACACATTTGGTTGAATCTTAGGAATAACTTATCTGGACCCCTTTCAGTCAGGATTCAGGCCCGGATATAGGATGGAAATGGCATTGGTCGCACTTTTGGAAGACCTCTGGTGGGAGTGGGATGGGAGCAGTGCATCCATCTTTGCTCTACTTGACCTCTTGGCGGCTTTCAATACCATTGATTATGGTATCCTTCTGGAGCGGCTTTGGGGGTTGGGAGTGGGCGGCACAATGTTGTGCTGGTTCTCTTCCTTTCTCCAAAGCTGGTTCCAGTCATGGTTGGTTGGGAGTGAGAAGTCCCACTCTTGGCCCCCTCTGTGTGGGGAACCGCAGGGTTTGGTACTTTCTTTGCTCCTGTTTAACATCTACATGAAGCCACTGGGTGAGATCATGTGATGGAATGGAATTATGAAGGCCGAGCTCAGGGAGATAAACATTTT